TGCCCTATCATAACCGACCAGTGATGGCCGCTCCGGGTGGTGGTGGCGGAGGCATCGGTGGTAACAACTGTTTCGAGCATATTATACAAGAGTTGGGTCAAGTGCTCGGGCCGTACGACTACCAGGGCCTGTACGCCGCCTATGGGTTCGGCGCCCGACTGGTGACCACCACTGCCGGTGCCGCTGACGGTGTGCCGCCCCCAGTGTCGCACGCGTTCAACATGAATGCCCAGTCAGTGGTGCCCTACTGTGACGGCCCGCAGGACATGATCCGCGCCTACCGGAGCTCATTGAAAGTGGTAGAGCCGGCGCCGGGCGGGTGTCGACAGTTCGCGCCTGTGATCAACGAGTCGCTCGCGTTGGCCAAAAACTTTCAAAACGGCAAACACTACTTCGTGTTGACAATACTGACGACCGGTTCGCACGCCGACACCGGCGACACATTGGAGGCCATTGTGAAGGCGTCGGCACTCCCGGTGTCGGTACTCATTGTGGGCGTCGGCGGCGCCGCCTTCACGGCGCTCAAGAGGTTGAGCGGCGACTCCACGTGCTCTCGAGGCTGTCGTACGTATAGGGATAACGTCCAGGTGAGAGAGCGGGGGAGAGAGAGGGAGAGAGAGAGAGATGTAATTAATTATTGTTTGTTTTTGAAGTTTTTTCAGCTGAAGAATTATCTGAGCGATGGATTAGTGGACAGTCGTCTGGCGGCGGATCTGTTGGAGACAATACCCACACAAATGCTTCAATACATGGATTCTCGCAATTATTTACCACAAAATATATCGTCAGTGAAAACAGCGTTCAAATCGTTTGTAAATTAGTTGCAATAAAATGATAATATCATATTATGATTACAAATGTTAGCATAAACTTTACTATACTTTAGATTGATTTAGCATAGTTTTTAATTACAATTAAACTTTTAGTAAATTATAAACTATATTTAAATATTGTAAATATATTTATTGATTATATGGTATAATTATTAATTGTGATAAACTCTATGACTCGAACTTTTCACACATAGTTCTCCATAAATCGAACCCTCTGTAAGTCAAAAAAACATTTGAGTCCCGATCGGTTCAACTTATTGAGGTTTTAGTGTATTCTAATATTTAAAATATTAATTATAATAATTGAATATTTTTGTTATCATTTATATAATAAATTTTTAAATTTACAAATATTTAACATTTGTTTAACTTATACTAATATAATACCATAGTTAATAAAATTTAGATGTTAGATATTAAGGAGTTAGATGTTAAAAATAGTTTACAGAATCTTGCTTAATTCAAAGTGAACATGTTTAAATATTTTATACATTTAATTAACATGTATTCTCTATAAAATGTTTATTGTAATCATGAATTGCTGATAATATTTGTTGATAGAATATTTAATTATAATATACAGTTCAGTAGAGTTCACACATTGATTGCAATGAGAGAATGATTTGTATTTTGAAAAATGTAATTCTTATGTTGCAAAGTATAGACACGTATAAATGCTGTAACACTTTATTAGTAATGTTGTATTAGATTGTTTAATAAATTCTTAGTAACAATACATGACAATTATTGTGTAAGATAGTATGGACAATAATTAAAATTACTATTTTTAATTAATGTTTGAAAATATTAATAAAGTTCATTTCTTTGCAATTAATTAATTTAACATGAGAGTTATTTTGGAAATAAGTGAACCACCAGTAACCAATCGCGATCTAGTTCATCAGATCAATTTATCATGGTTAAATTTACAGGTTTTCACTAAAAACAATAAAACTATTTATAATTGTTACCGAAATGTGTGCCCACCCAAGGAGATTATCCGGAATGGTAAATTATACTGATACATTTTAAAATAAGTCAATTTTTGTTTTAATTTATATTATTTATTTACTGTATATTATTATATAATTAATTATTTTTATTTACGCTATAATTAAATGTAAATAGTATCAGGCAATGTGGCATCTGGTCAATTATTGGCAATTATGGGACCTAGGTAACAAACACTAATTTTATGTATTGAGTTTGTTAGTTAAATTAGGGACCTTAACAGATTGCAATTATTTTTACTATTATAATTCATACATGTGTATTATTAATTAAAGTAAATTTACTAAAATTCATTAAAATATTAAGTTTATATTACAGTAGAATTAAATATATGAATACTAATACTTAACAGTATATTTTTAAGAATATAAAATATACTTTATACAAATTGTTTAATAAATGACAATTTGCAACTAACTTTCTCAAAGACTAACATATCTATAGCATTTCATTACACTTAAAAGTAATGTATAAATAGTACAGTATTAGTAATACTATAACATCTTATATAAATAATTATAGTGGCGCTGGTAAGACAACCTTGCTCAATGCACTTACCGGTAGAAATATGGGCAAAATGTCGGTCACCGGAGATGTGCTGATAAACGGACGGCCGGTAAACGGGTAACATCTTATATAAATAATTATAGTGGCGCTGGTAAGACAACCTTGCTCAATGCACTTACCGGTAGAAATATGGGCAAAATGTCGGTCACCGGAGATGTGCTGATAAACGGACGGCCGGTAAATGGGGGGACACTGGCCTCCATCTCGTCGTATATTCAACAAAACGATTTGTTTTATCCATTGCTTACCGTTAGAGAGCATCTCATGATTAATGTATTGAATTTACTAATATATTAATTGAAAAAATTAGTTAAAATTATTATAAAATTAATTTGTAATTTCATAATCTAAAATTCGAGGTTACTTTGCGTTTTGGTAAAACTTTGACTCAAACCATGAAAACTAAATTGGTTCAAGATATATTGATCAGGGTAAATTAAAGTATTTAATAATAATAATTATTTAATAATAGTTTGAGTTCTTATAAGTAGTAAATTATTCTTTGGAAATTGTTATTGTAATGTAATGTTTATTATATTAATAATTAGACATAATTTATTAAGCTTGTTGTTATAAATTCTTTAATTATAATTTAAATTATTTAAATATCTAAATAATATGTTAATTTCAAATGCAATTTTAATATTTTTTATTCAGTTAAACTTGGTCAAATGTTCTGAGAGCAGAATTGGCGGACACATATTTAAGGGCATTTCTGGGGGTGAAATGAAACGGCTGTCAATTGCATCAGAGGTTTGACCGTATTTTACAAATAAAGTTTACAAGTTTTACAAATAATTTTTTTGTATATTTATAAATTAATTATATATTTTATAAATTATTTTATAGGTTATAACAAACCCATCGTTAATGTTCTGGTAATTATTTTAATATAGTGTTAACTGGTTTTAGTTTTGCAAAAATAATTGATTATTTCCATTATTTTTATGCAAACCATTTCTCAAGCGATGAGCCGACGAGTGGTTTGGACTCATTTATGGCCGAAAGTATTGTACGGCTACTGAAGGCTATGGCCTGTGAGGGCCGGACTATAGTCTGTACAATACATCAGCCGTCGTCCCAAGTGTTTGCACTTTTCGACCACTTATTACTGATGACCGACGGAAGGGTTGCTTTCATGGGAACTAATGGTATGACTGCGTTATTATCAATTAATAATTTTTATTAAAATGTTGATTACATTAACTACATATGAATTTCTCTGTGCAAAGAAACACACATATCTTAATGTTTTCATATCTATAACGCATTGTAAAGCATTAAAATAAATGCATTACAGTTTGAAGAGATATGTGTTTCTTGCACAGAGCAATTCATATTAGGTTAAATGTAAAACTTTATATATAAAATTAATAATTTTAAATTATATCTAATTACAGATAATGCTAATAATTTCTTTACTTCAAACGGATATGTAAGTGTCTCTAGTTAAAATGTCGATTATATTTAAATTAAATAATTTAATTTATTATTTTGCTATTAAAAATTGGTATTATTTATAAATAAATTTTATTTTAGATTTGTCCACAAAACTATAATCATAGTGATTATTTTATGAATCAATTGGGTAAGCATGACAAAACTACATTAAGGGATTTTGTACATTTATTAAATAAATACAATTTATTTTGTTATTATTATAGCAATAACATCTCAATCTGAAACAAGAACAAATGTCAATGTAAGTATTTAAAATACTAGTACTTCAAATCATCCTAATGTTGCATTATATAATATTGATTAATTCAATCGTATTATACTTAACAAAAATAAATTCTACCATGTCTCAAAATAGAAAATGCTTATTGTAAATATTTATATACAGAGATTATGCAATAAATTCATTGACACGGAATATAGTGAAGATATATTATCAAAAATAGCAAGAGCAAAACTGGTGGCAGATAATAGTGATAAGAATTATCGATTTACAAATTATGACCATGGCGGATTTGAGCGACCAGGTTTATGGCTACAATTTACCACGCTAATGATGAGATCGTATAAACTGACCATACGCAACACCGATGAAATTAAAATGCAGCTGGCTCGCTCATTGGTTTGTAACAACAATTATTTACTGTAATTTAAAAATCTATTTAAAATAAATTAGTTTAATTTAGTATGGTTTATTTTGTAAAAATAAGTTACTGTTAAATATTTGTAACTAACATTAATTTTATTTTTAATTGTGACTCTAATGGAAAGGCAATGTCCATTTTTATGGGCCTAGTGTTTCACAAACAGTACCCGATATCTACAGATGTGGATAATATTAATGGCATATTATTTATGATCGTACAAAACAATATAGTGCTTAACACTCTAGCATTTGTTAACGTAAGTAACATAAAATAATTATTGTTTAAAAATCAAATTTCCTTGTTGAATTAATTTTATATTATGTTGAATAATAAAAATAAAAAAGTATCTGTGTCAATTTTAAATCTAATCTAGAGTTAACAAATTCTATTCTATTTGCAGATATTTTGCAGTGGCACTGAAATATTTTTGCGCGAACACCATAATCACATGTATTCGGTGCTAACGTACTACTTGTCGCACATATTTATTAGAGTAGGTTAATATTAAAGTTTAAATAAAAATATTTAAATTATATTAACAACAATAGTTTAATTGGTAGCATTTAATAATGAAATTCATCATGATTTCTTATGTTTACTATAGATACCCATATCAATGGTAGTTTCAATGATCTTCATATCGATTGTCTATTTCATGGCGGGTCTGAATCCCGATCCGCAGGCGTTTGCTATTTGTGTTGGAAATAATATGTTATTACTTATTGCCGGCGGTTTCTTAGGTAGTAATTAATTTTAACAGTTAATTACAGTAATTTAATTTAACCAGCTTACCTTTATATGTATGCTTATTAGAATAAAAATATAAAGCACACAATAGATATACTTTATAAAATGTAGCACTACAAAATAATTAATTTCAAAATGTCTATTTTTATCATTTATTATACTGTATATCAATTTAATAATATTTATTAGGCTGCTTTATTTCTTGCATCGTTCCCAACATACAACTGGCCATGGTAATTGTACCACCAATTAATTTAACAATGACACTTTTTGGTGGATTATTCATTAATTCTGGGTAATTTAAATTAAATAAATTACATTTTCAAAAATTAATTTTATTACATCATTGCTCATGATCAATTAAAGTTTCATTAATTTTTGTTTAATTGTAATAAATTGTAATTCAATAGTTATATATTTAATTATAGGTCAATACCTAATTGGTTAATATGGATGAAATATCTAGCTATTAATCATTATGGTTACGAACAATTTATGATCAGCCAATGGCGCACTGTAGAGAATATACCATGCTACAATAATAGCCAATCGGTGGGACATTGTTATGGCAATGGTTCTAACGTGATCATTGCACAGGGTTTCAATGAAAATGATATCCATTTTGATTCATTGGTATTAATTGGAATGTCACTGGTTTATTTAACACTTGGTTATATTGGAATGGTGTGCAAAAGTAAGCGAGAGCAATAACCAGCAATCCGTAGCTACGTGTATAAGTTTACATAAAGTTAATTGTAGCAACATTTTATATATATAAATAATTGTTAAATGAATTTAATAATTATAAACTTTAAAACACGGCAACTTTAAATATTTATTATAAATATCTTTTTAAACAACTCTCAAATTCAACAAAAATTAATAAAAGCAAAAAACATTTGTGTTCAAAATTTATTATGATATGTTTAATTAATTTCTAATGGGATAACTGACAGAAGGGGAAAAAGTTAATTCTTTAATTTCTATTTATATTAGACATGATACAAAAATACATGTATAAAAATTGTTAATTAAATTTTTAAATCTATTATTGACAACCTTAATCTGTTATACCCAGGGATCCGCATGTTGAAATGTAATAGTAAATAGTCACTACTGTATGAGTTATAAATATAGCAATTTATAGACAGATTCATATTTGATAGCATTAGTCATGCTATAACTAAAGTATAACCTCATTATACAAAAGTGGCCCATGATCGGCCCCTGCGCGTTTTAGTGGTTATACCATATTAAAACAATTCTGGCAACCTCACTTGACACATAATTATAAAATAAATATAAATACAGATATCCGTATTAATAAAACTGTGTCTAAATTGTGTGATCTGATTTGTTTAATCATGGCAATTATGAAATATTTTGCCAATTTTAACAATATGATTTAGATCATAAAGTAAGCAAAATCATTAATTAATTTTTGTATTGTATTGTAATAATCAATGATTATTAATTATTTTATTTTAGTGTAATGGAAATCCGGGGCATGCGTTTAATTACATTTATTTGTTATTGTATATCATTTATTCTGTGCTATAGTAATAATTTCAAACAACCAAATATTATACTTATTGTTGCCGACGATTACGGTTAGTGTTATTACAGTATATTGATAATTATTAACAACTAGGTGCAATAACAAGTAAACTAAATGTATAAATAAAAACATAATATGACAAATAGGTTGGGGAGACGTCGGCTTTCACGGCTCACAACAGGTGCGGACACCAAACATAGACCTATTGGCCGGAAGTGGTATTATTTTGAACAACTATTACGTGTCGCCCATTTGTTCGCCATCGAGAAGCGCTATTCTCACGGGTTATCATCCCATCCATACGGGAGAGCAGTACAGTATCATTGGAAACACAAGCCCGTGGGGTACGCCACTTCAATTCCGGCTACTCTCCCAACATGTCAAAGATCTAGGTTACGAGACACATATGCTGGGCAAATGGCATCAGGGCTTTTTCAAACGAGAATATACGCCAACACAACGCGGATTTGACACACATTTCGGGTATTGGACGGATTCGGAGGACTATTACACTCGATCGGCAGCCAATGGGTTTGACTTCCGGGACAATGAAAATCGGGTAAACCTAACAGAATATGAGGGCATCTATTCGACACATATCTACACAAATAAAGCCATTGATTTAATTAACCGAAGGGGAAGTGCG